GAAGTTGGGGCGTTCCACAGTCCCTTATTTCAAAAATTTACCTAAATTAGGAAATTCCCGAGAACTGGCTCTCCAACTGTTATTGTTAGCAGAGGGACGTGATCATAAACGTAACGAGGGTTTTATTGTCTCTCAAAGGAAGTACCTAGACCTTGTGCAGCTGAAGGTACTTAACGAAAATTCCTCAAATAATTCCGTTTACCTGTCACACAATTGTATTTTAAATCCCCACGTTTCTTCCAATAAACTTTGCGAGGTTGTTGACCGTTCAAATCTTAGTTCAAAGAGTTTAAATATGAATCTCCGGAGTTATAACGATATTACTGATAAAAACCATCTTGAGGGCGAGGGCGTGTATGCGCTCACTGTCAGGGTTAAAGCCGTCCTGAATTCGCGCCTTTCGAAGCCTCTGTCCAGCGACCGCAATAATTTGGTCGCATTTATACCTGGCCAATGCCTCTTTCGGCCAGCCATCAACTGGTCCCTCAGGAAAAAACCACGCCGTCGTTCCCATCAACAGGCCATCCCTTGGCACCTCATCCACGCTTACCATCAACACTTCTGGAAGTCGTGGTACCTCGAATATTTGACCACACTGAAAGGCAGGTTAGGGTGGCAAAGGCCATCTTCCAACGTTCCAGGAATGGCAAGATGGGTCCTCGTGAAGGAGGAGAAATTTCCGCGTCTACAGTGGCGGTTAGGACGCGGCCCTCCAACATCATTTTGGAAAGGAAGTGGTGGTGTGTGTAGTGTCGGTGAAGTGCAAAAGATAATTTCGCAATCGCATGCATTATCATTCTATTTAACCATATTGCATACATCTTGTCAATTTGTTATATACATCTCATTGTTGATTTATTTTACTATGTTCTATGTATTCATATTTGTACCATTGTTATATTCATTCGCCATATTATTTACTCGTCGTATTATTCATTGATTTGGTACATTATAATTGTTGTAAATTTATTTTTAGGTATATTGTAAATAATGTGTATTCGCTGATATTGTACCAATGTAATTTGTCTTAGATATCTTTTTTTTAAAGTTTAATGCATTTCTTCAGGTTCATTGCTTTCTGTAACAATGTCCACCCAATTCATGTAATTTCATCTGTATTTAACATTACTAAATCATGTTTTCATTCTAATGTTCTATATAGTTTATTTTTGGTCTTAAAACAATGTAATTGTTTCAAGGCGGGGGGTATGTTAAAGCCTCTGGCGGGGACCTGTTTCACCCCTCCCCACCCGTAAGGGTGGGAGCCAGAGCCACCCCCACCTTGGAACACAGGGTAGCATTCATTCTTAATTCTTAACTCATACATACACATTCAATTCTCAATTCTCAATTCGTAACTAACATTCAGCTATCTCGACCGCACGGTCACATAATATTCTATCCTTATCATTCTTATTTATCCTAACACTTGTCACTATCAATATACATTTATCTTACTGTTCGCTGGTCTTTATTCATTTATACAAACTTCGACAACAATATTAGAAACTAGCCGACCCGCCAAACGTTGTTTTGGCATTTCTAGTGAATTTTTTGGTACACAGTTAAATAAAAAATTAAATTAAAATAAATACATAAAAATTTATCGTACGACAATGATTATATTCAATGGTCATCTTGCAACCCTATTGCGCATCTGTGGATGAAAGCAAAGATACTCATATCGTTATTAAAAAATGGGGGTTGGTGGTAGAAGGGTCAAAATTTAGGGTTATATGTATTTTTTGATGGCAAATCTTAAAAAAATAAAAATAAAAAATGTCTAAAAAATAAAAAAAGTTTGGTGGGTCACCCTTATCACTTAGGGGTTTAAAAAATAGTTTACTAGACCTACCGAATATACACAAAAAAATTCATAAAAATCGGTCAAGGCGTTTTGGAGGAGATTGGTTACAAACACTGTGACACCAGAATTTTATATTAGATTATTTTAGAAAAAAATTCTTTACCATAAAAAAGGTTATACTGAGTCGACCTTAAAAGATTGACGTATGCTGTCGCGGACTTTTTTTTAGAACTTTTAGAAGAGAACAATTCCATCATACATGATTTTTATGTAACTTTAACCGTTTAATACGCAGCGTAAGCAACGGAAGCTGTCAAAGGACGAATAATTTTCCCGTTTTTCCGATATTTTTTCATTCTATAATAATTTCCCAGTCCAGTTTTTTTTTCTACTTAAAAAATTAGTTGTAACATACGTCAGATATATTTTATTATTCCAAAAAAGCACCACAAGTACAAAATTAAAATAGTTTTGAAAATACGAAAATTTTCATAAAACACAACTGAAACTGATTTTTTTTTTTCACGTTTTATTACAGCATGAAGTTTCACTGTAGAACTGAGGACAAAATTTAAGTATTTTGTTGTCTTGCATCATAAATTAGTCATACTTTTGTCGGATAAAGATTGGTAATTTACTACATGGGGTGTTAGATTTGCTACAATGGGATTGCGACACTGCGACAGGTTTATTACAAACAGATGCTGCTGCATTTTCGACCGCCGGTGCCTGTCGCTAAAACCCGAGTTTATTGAGTCTATGATATTGAATCTTTAGTTGATTGTTTATTTTTTTCAACATTTTCTACAATTTCAGAAATTATGGATTCAATAAACTTATGTGTTTTTTTACTGTTTGTACAATTTTTTGTACTAATTGCACGTTTTGTTTTTTTTTTTGCGTAGATAAAATTTGTCACGAGCCATTATTATAAAATAAGGTGTAACAACAAAAATATAGTGCAAATAATTTGTAAGTGGACGACCGAAACTATGTTTTAGGCAGACACTGACAAAGTGGTAGTAACATTGGCAACTGTTCCAAAACTGAGTTTTGCCGAAAAAAGGTACTTTACGTGCATTTCAAACAATTACATTCATAGGACTCTACCATTTCTACCAGCCAGATGTAAACAACCACCTACAATAAATTTAACAACTTTTGTTTGTCACCGGAAGTGGGACTGGTATTGCGGACTGAAATTATCCCTTGTACACGCTTTCGACTCCATTTGAGTAACAATTTTTTTCCGAATTTAAAATTACGTTCAAGCTGTTGTTCAAGCCTAAAATTTAAAATTAAATCTTTCCGAAACAGTATGACAAATATGTAGTGAACAAAAAATATTTACACCTTATACAAAAAAATGAGGTTTACGATGCGCAAGCATATGATATACGTAAAATTAAAAGTGCAAGTCAAAGTTAATATGCATAAAAAATAGCAGCTGCTTCTATTAAAAATTTAAAATTAATTATTTAAATCCTTACAAAACGATATACTAACAAACAGTTTAAGCAAAGTCAAATTTTTAAACAAACTGCCTTCTGCCATGCAGTTAGCCGCCAAAATAATTAACATGAATATTTTAGTACTTACATAAAAAACCACCGTTGAATGCTTAGAATTACTTGCACACAACGTACTAATGATTTACGTTGAAGAAAGTAAAAAATTTTGCTATGTGGCTAATAGCTTCAAGGACACGTTATTATTCATTTTCAAACGATTGCGGCTAATAATTTTAACAATTTATTGTTATTTACTTGGTAAATATATTTTTATTTTTATTACTATTGTTTTGTTGCAAACGATAAAGTAAATAACAAAACCAAACTCTTATACATTATTAAGTTTAAGAAAAATTTTCCGCCAAAAATATTCTATTTGTAATGAATGGGCATGTCCGACAGTGCAGATAGTAGGAAAATAATAAAAATATTTACTTATACCGGAAATATTGTTAATTCTCTTATTTCAAGTTTGGCCTACAAATGTGGAAAATCCCTCCCGTTCGTAAATAGTACCTTGGCGCGACCAATTTTTGCTTTACATGATGTTCCTGTAATTCAGACAAACAACACATCCTTGATAGGAATAAATCACATATCTACAGATAATTCCCCGACAGTAGGAGGTACTTTAATATTTACATATATTTAATATATTTACCGAAAACAATTTAAGTACGGAAACAAAATAAATAACTGGAAAGAATTAACTGTAGCCAAAATAGGAAAATGAATCAGTGAGTTTTACATCTTTCCGGTTTTGAACGGTCAAGGGTAAATTCAGGTACCCGGATTTTGTTTGCAACTATTATGGCTAGACAGGCACTGCGGCTTGTGTACTAAAACTTATTTCCGTACAGTAAAATGTAGAATTCTACGGATCGGTGCTGCATTTATTCACATTTTAGCAATTCACTAACAGGAGGCAGCATCTCCCGGGTCGTTTTATTCTCACTTTGACCAGGCAGATATTTTGCCTCCAGACGGCACCCTTAAGTTATGATTTTTCATTTTCTCGATTTTTAATTTTCCAACTTTTTGACACAATTTTTCTTATCCTTTTTCTTCAATTTTATAGTTTTCTGGTATCACAATTTTCTATTTATTCGGATTGATTTAATTTTTTCAATTATTCAAATTTCCTTACTTCAAAATTTTTCAATTTTTCTTTTATTTAAAGAATGAAAACTCGCAAAATCGAAAAAGTTGAAAATCGAAAAACTGAAGAAACGAAAAATCGGAACATTGAAAAATTAACAATCAAGAAACTTAAAAATCGAAAAAAATAACGAAAAATGAAATAAATGAAAAAGTTTTAAAATCCAATAATTAAAAAATGAAAAATAGAAAAATTTTGAAATCGTAAAATTGAAAAAGTGAAATATTTTAAAAATTATAAAAATTATTAGATACGTGCTGAAGAGTCAAAAATTGAAGAAACAAAAAATTGAAAAATCAAGAAACTGAAAAATTTAAATGTGAGAAACGAAAAATTTAAAAATACAAAAGTTGAAAAATTGAAAAAAATAAAATCGGAACATTAAAAAATCCAAAAATTGTAAAGAGAAAGAAAACAAAAAACCCAAATTGCCTATTGAAAATCTGAAGACATGAAAAATTAAAGTATCTAAATATTGAGAAAATTAAAATTAAGATATTTTTCTTTTAATTTTGTGACGAAGAAAATTTTGGTAAAATTTATTTCTGCCATAAATTAACAAACTAATTTCAAAATAAAATTTTAAACACTGTGGACAGCAACCAATACCAGGCGTACATGACGAATCCAACAAAAGCGTAGTGAACTCCCGCCAGGAAATACATCCATCGTTTAGCTTTCGGTATCGATTCTAAAGGGTCTTTCACCAAAAATACCCTCCCTCCTACACAACAGTCTTCGAAATACGATTTCCAATCGACCGTTTTCATGTTAAAATTGAACACTTCTTTATCTTTTTCGTCGAGTTGGTCCCACAAAAAGTCAACGTTACTGTTGTCGAAATTCCACGAACGAAGCACGAAGTACGAAAGAAGATCAAGCGTTTTGTTAACTTTTTGATATTTTTTTACAGCTCTGAAAAACGTGTGAGAAAAAAGTTTGACTTGGTTTAAGATTTACTTACAGTGGTTTTTTGCCGATGGTCACAAGGATTGCATCTACAATGTACGAGAACACAGTGTGATAGAAAAAGCTTCGTATTTTATGGATGGTTTTGTAGCGGCTTAGTTGGACGTATGGGTACCACACAGTTTTGGTTAAAGGGTACTTAAAAACGAATGTTTTGTAATAATCTAGAATCCACCCTAGAATGATATTGAGCTTTTATTTATCCATATTTATTAATATTAATAACTGACCATAAGTGACGCTGTTGGTTTTAGCAGCAGTTAAATTGTAAATCGGAATCGGGTTATTAGTGGTTTTTTCTACGCACTTTTCGAGGTTCCATGCTGCAGCTAAGATGATGTTAACAACAAAGTCAACTGGAACATACGGAGCTGGAAATTTTGGGTCCATGTGAAGACTCCTCAACAACCCCAGAGCTATACCAAAACTTATACCAATAGGCCCGTTGAAGTTGTCATTCCAGCCAGGAAAAGGTTCCTTTAGACATGAAAGGGCTAAACAAAGGTACTACGCAAGCGACAAAAAAATCCTTACTAATAGCAGGACGTACGATGCAAATTGGAAAGCAATTTTCGTACCTACGAACCACTTCTTCTGCCAAAGCTTTACTATAAACGTATGTGTTAGGCCATGGACCCATGAGGCTAGAAATCAAAGCTTGGTCGTCCATTAAATCCACCATCTGCAACACCTTTTCTGGATCAGTACCAACCCCATAGAACTCCTCCCGAATTTCCGTTCTCGGACAATGCGAAAACGCAGTCGACACATAAACAAAAGCTCTCAAGTTCTTCGCCTCTTTCATAATCTCAAGAAGATCACGCACCCCTCGAACATTCGTGTGAACAGCAGTTTTCAAATCTATGTCAAAACGCACGTTCGCAGCAACGTGAAAAACACAAGTTACTTGGTCCTTCAGAATTTCGATAGCTTCAAAGTTCAAACCGAGGAAAGGTTCTTTGCAATCGCCACTCAACAGATGGATTTTTTTGCCAAAATCCGGGTCCTGCGATCTCAGAAGGTCGAAACACTTGAACATTAAGATTTATTTCGGGTGTGTTCGTCAGTACAACTTACTGTTGAGTCGAAAATGTCCTTCAGTCGTTCGTCGAGGCTTCGGGTAGGTTTAGGGCGCACCAAAACGTAGATTTTTTTCAGGTTAGGGCACGTTCGGAGCAGTTTTTCGGCTATAAGTTTACCGATGAAACCGGTGACTCCTGTTAGGAGGATTACTTGGTTGGAGTAGAAGTCTTGTATTGGCGACATTTCGCGTGATTGTGGTAAAGGACACCCAAATTTGTCTGGTTGTAGAGGTCGAACCGGTTTTAATTAGTGCTTATCTTTTTTGTGGACTGCAACTCGTTTGTTTTAAAAACTCAGACAAATTAATATACAGTAACGTAAACAAGTTCCGCTTTTTCTTATTGTGTCAAAACTTCGATTTTAAAAAAATTCGATTACATATTCATTGAGGAACAAATTTATTTTTTGTAGAAAAATTATTATTAGAGATCAGAGCGGGGCTATAAAAGATTCTGCAGGAAAAATTAAAAATTTCGATTTCTCGATTTATTTATTTTTCGATTTCTCAATTTTCCTATGTTTCAATTCAATTTTACGATTTTTAAACAAATATTTCGATGAAGTTTCTTCTTATGAAAAGATGACTACACATTAAGAAAACAAGGCAAAATATAAGCCCCGCCCACCCGCCCCTATCTCAATTGTGATGATTTTTTTTATTCATCGTGAGCCAAGAGGGCGGAGCTTAACTGCAAAATCCTTACTTCTCTACGAGAAATTAAAAACATGTTTTTGAGTATCGTGTTCTTCTCAATTGTAGTGATTTTTTTATTCGTTGTCAGATCGAAAGGCGGGGCTTAATTGCAAGATCCTTATTTGTCTAAGCATGTTAAGAGAAAAGGCAAAATATAAGCCCCACCCACCCTAACTCGATTGTGCATTTTTCAGTTTTTCGATTTTTGAATTTTAGATTTTCGAATTTTCATTTTTTGTTTTTTCGATGTTTGGATTTCTGAATTTTTCAATTTTGCGTTATTTTAATTGTTCAATGTTTTATTTTAGATATTTAGATTTCTCGATTTTTTGATTTTCCTATTTCTCGACTTCTTAGAGTTTCGATTTTTCAGTTCTTCAATTCTTCAATTTTTTAAATTCTCAATTTTTGGATATTTCTTCAGTTTTGGCATTTTCCAATATTTTGATTCTTCAACTTTTCGATTTTTCGACTTCTGAATTTTTCGATTTTTCGATGTTTATTTTTTGGATTTTCATTTTTTCGCTTTTTAAACTTTATATTTTTCAATTTTTCGACTGTTTTATATTTCGATTTCTCAATTTTTCGACTTTTCGGTATTTTGATTTTTGAATTTTTAAATTTCTAAATTTTTCGATTTCTCGAATTTTTAATTTTTCTATATTTTAATTTTTCAAATTTCCGGATTTTGAAATTTTCCATTTTTCAATTTTTTGATTGGAATGTTTTGATGTTTTGATTGGCCAATCTCCCGATTTATCAATTTTTCCATTTTAAACTTTTCGATTTTGCGATTTTGGCCTATTTATATTTCGAAAATCGAAAAATTGGAAAAACGAAGAATTAAAAAACAAATTGGCAATGGAAAATTTAGAAATTCTAAAAAGTGAAAAATTAAAATATATAACTAAAGACTCAGGAAATCGAAAAAACTAACTGAAAAGCCAAAATAAGGAAAAGTTTGAAAAATTGAAAAATCGAAGTATAAAACATTTATTTTATTTAAATGAATGAAAACAGTCTAAAAATGTTTTATTTTTATTTTTATTTTATTTAAATGAATCTTACAGAGTGTAGGAAAAAAATGAAAAGTTTTAAAAACGAAAAACTAGAAACCCAAAAAGTAAACAGTCGAAAAATCGAAAAATTCAGAACTCAAAAATCCAGAATTCGAAATACTAAAAATCCCGAAATTGAAATATCGAAAAATTGAAAAACAGAAGAAATCGAACGTCGAAAAATCACAAACTAAAAAAATCGAAAAACGGAAAAATCAAAAACCTGGAAATTCGAAAAACTGAAGAACTGTAGAACTGAATGGAAACTTTCAGAAGTCGAGAAATTTGAAAATAAAAATAGATTAAGAAAGACTGAAAATTCAGTAATTTCAAAATTTGAAAAATTAAAAAATATTGAAGAACTGCAAAATCGAAAAATCTAAAATTTAAAATAGTAAAAATTAAAATTTCGTAAAATTGAAAAATGAAGAAATCCAAACATCAAAAAATCAAAAAAATAAAATTCGAAAATCCAATACCGGAAAGTCAACAAATCGAGAAATCGAAACTCTAAAATTGAAAAAATTGGAAAATTGAAAAATCGAATAATTCAAAAATCAAAACATTGAAAAATCGAAAAGCCGAAAAGTAAAAAATCGAAAAACCGACGAATTGAAAAATCGAAAAATTCAAAAACTGAGACATCGAGAAATGGAAAAATCAAAAGATCGAGAAATCGAGGAGTCAAAAAATGAAAACGCCAAAAATTTTCAAAAAGAAGCATTGGAAAATCGAAAATTTAAAAATTCGGAAAATTGAAAATAAAGAACTCCAGAAATCGAAACATTTTTAATTTTAAAAATTGAAAAATTAAAAAATAGAAGAAGTCGAAAAATCGCAATTTTAAAAGAATCGAAAAACGGAAAATTCAAAAACCTAGATATTCGAAAAACTGAAGAAATGAAGAAATTAAGAACTGAAAAATGGAAACTTTCGGAAGTCGGGAAATTGGAAAATACAAAATAGATTAAGTAACTAATAAATCGGAAAAATGAAAATTCAGAAATGTCAAAATTTGAAAAACTAAAAAATATTGAAAAACTGCAAAATCGAAAAATCTAAAATTTAAAATATTAAAAAATTAAAATACCGTAAAATTGAAAAATGAAGAAATCCAAACATCAAAAAACCAAAAAAATTAAAATTCGAAAATCTAAAAATCTAAAGACCGAGAAATCGAGGAGTCAAAAAATGAAAACTCGAAAAATTTTAACAAAGAAACATTGGAAAATAGAAAATTTAAAAATTCGGAAAATTGAAAAAGTAAAATAAAGAAGAATTGAAAACTGGAGAAATCGAAAAACCGAAAAATTCAAAAACTGAGAATCGAGAAATTGAAAAATCAAAATATCGAGAAATCGAGGAGTCAAAAAATGAAAACGCGAAAAATTTTAAAAAAGAAACATTGGAAAATCGAAAATTTTAAAATTCGGAAAATTACGAATAAAGAAGAACTCGAGAAATCAGAAAACTTAAAATTTTAAAAATTGAAAAATTAAAAATTCGAAAAGTCGAAATACTAAAAAAACCCAAAACTGAAATATTGAAAAATTGAAAAATATTGAAGGACTACAAAATCGAAAAATCTAAAATTTAAAATATTGAAAAATTAAAATACCGTAAAATTGAAAAATGAAGAAATCCAAACATTAAAAATCAAAAAAATTAAAATTCGAAAATCTAAAAATCAAAAGATCGAGAAATCGAGGAGTCAGAAAATAAAAACTCGAAAAATTTAAAAAAAGAAACATTGGAAAATCGAAAATTTTAAATTCGGAAAATTGAAAATAAAGAAGAACTCGAAAAATTGAATAACTTAAAATTCTAAAAATTGAAAAATTAAAGAATCGAAAAGTCGAAATACTAAAAAAATCCCAAAACTGAAATATCGAAAAATTTAAAAATAGAAGAAGTCGAAAAAATCGAAAAACGGAAAATTTCAAAAACCTAGAAATTCGAAAAATTGAAGAAATGAAGAACTGAAAAATGGGAACTTTCGGAAGTCGGGAAATTGGAAAATAAAAAATAGATTCAGTAACTGAGAAATCGGAAAACTGAAAATTCAGAAATATCAAAATTTGAAAAATTAAAAAAGATTGAAGAACTGCAAAATCGAGAAATCGAAAAATATGAAATTTAAAATATTGAAAAATTAAAATACCGTAAAATCGAAAAACGAAATTCAAACATCAAAAAATAAAAAAAAAATAAAATTCGAAAATCTAAAAATTAAAAATCCAAAACTGAAAAATCAACAAATCGAGAAATGGAAACTCGAAAATTGAAAAAATTGGAACATTGAAAAATCGGATAATTCGAAAATCGAAACATCGAAAAATCGAAAATCCGGAAAGTAAAAAATCGAAACACCGACAAATTGAAAAATCGGAACATCGAAAAATTCAAAAAATGAGACATTGAGAAATTGAAAAATCAAAAGATCGAGAAAACGAGGAGTCAAAAAATGAAAACGCGAAAAGTTTGAAAAAAGAAACATTGGAAAATCGAAAATTTAAAAATTCGGAAAGTTGACAATTTCATATAAAGAACTTAAAATTTTAAAAATTGAAAAATTAAAAAATCGAAAAGTCGAAATACTACAAAATCTAAAAACTGAAATATCGAAAAATTGAAAAATAGGAGACATCGAAATGTCGAAAAATTACAGTCTTAAAAAAATTGGTCTAAAGAGTTTGAAGAACTGCAAAATCGAAAAATCTAAAATTTAAAATATTGAGAAATTAAAATATCGTAAAATTGAAAAATGAAGAAATCCAAACATCAAAAAATCAAAAAATTAAAATTCGAAAATCTAAAAATTAAAAATCCAAAACTGAAAAATCAACAAATCGAGAAATGGAAACTCGAAAATTTAAAAAATTGGAAAATTGAAAAATCGGATAATGCAAAAATGGAAACATGGAAAAATCGACAAGCCGAAAAGTAAAAAATCGAAACACCGACGAATTGAAAAATCCAAAAATTCAAAAACTGAGACTTCGAGAATTGGAAAAATCAAAATACTGAGAAATCGAGGGATCGAAAAATCGAAATATCAAAAAATTTTAAAAAAGAAAAATTGGAAAATGGAAAATTTAAAAGTTTGGAAAATTGAAAATTTCAAATAAAGAAGAACTGAAGACTCGAGAGATCGAAAAACCGACGAATTGAAAAGTCGAAACATCGAAAAATTCAAAAACTAAGAATCGAGAAATTGAAAAATCAAAAGATCGAGAAATCGAGGAGTCGAAAAATGAAAACTCGAAAAATTTTAAAAAAGACATTGGAAAACCGAAGATTTGAAATAAAGAAGAATTGAAAATTCGAGAGAAATCGAAAAATCGAAAAATTGAAAAATCAAAATATCGATAAATCGAGGAGACAAAAAATGAAAACGCGAAAAATTTTACAAAAAGAAATATTGGAAAATCGAAAATTTAAAAATTCGGAAAATTTAAAAT